AATAAAAAAAAATATATATATATATATATATATATATATATATATATATATATATATATATATATATATATATATATATATAGGTGAAAATGTTCTTGAGTGTGTATGATATAATTTCCATACCCAGCGTAAGCAGAAAGATAAAGTCTGCCGCGGCTGGGTCAGACGACTGCGTCTGGCTTGGTCTGTCGCAGACTTTATCTTTCTGCTTACGCTGGGTATGGAAATTATATCATACACACTCTAGAACATTTTCACCTGAACATATTACGGAGTGTACAATTACACAACTCAATATATATATATATATATATATGTATATATTAGATCAAACTAGATATCAGTCCTGAGAAAGGATGGAGCAATGACGATATGTTTGTACCGCCTGGATATCACCTGAATGCTGAAATAGACAATGAAGATACAAAAGCGGAAAACCACGAGCATGGTGGACCTGTGTATACATATCCTGCAGGAATTGGTACTACGATTATGAATGGTTGTTGGGGGACAGGGTACAAACCTGGTGATCCTTGTTATAAATCATTAGGAGTATCGACTGCCTGTCAGGTGTGTTTATTATTTATCTGATTTATATGCTAAAAACAGACAACTAAACAGATGTACACAGGATAACAGGAAAAGAGACCCATATTTCTGTTATTACTATTTTTTCACCGAAAATTTCCGTAATGTTCTAAAATCTGTTTGCATTTTTTCTGCAGAATATGATTGACGGCGCGGCATTTATTGGTGTTGGTTTTGACGGACGTGGTAAATATAGTCCAGAGTCAAGAAAAATGAGTATTATACAACGTTCTTGTGGTGGACGTCAATAGTAAGGAAAATGTACCAAATAATAATTACATTATTCGAAGTTATATGTTCTCAGCAACTAACCATGTTTAATTATATGAACTTAGTTCGGACATGTTTTTATATCGCTTGCTTTACGAAACTGACTTATTTTAATTAAGCCAGAGTATTTAACTTGAAAGGTAGGATTCATTCCTGAAATAAGTAAGCCACAGTATTTTAATAAAACACAAAACAATAAATACTCCAAAAATTGTAAACATTTTATTTCTTTACGTTTCGACTATAATTTAAGTCATCTGTTAATTCTTTCGACCCACGCGCACCATGGTTCAATGCTGTTCATGTTCAATAAACAAGAGTGACTAGTAATGTTTGAATTATGATTATGCTCTGGCCTCCTCGGCAGGCATTGCCTTTATAGATAATTTTCATTTCAAATATTCAAACACAATTTGAAAAAATATGGATCTAGGAATACTGATCATTTTTATCAAAGCACGCCGAAACTATGTAAATCGTATCCAGCGATAAATGTGAAAATGTTCGATTTATATTTGGTCTGTAGCCTGCATGCATATATAGCATCAAACATTAATAGTTTTGGGAAACGGAATACCCTAGAAGGCAGATGGAGTGGTAAATGTCGAAATTTCAGCTAGATAATGGATGCTCTTGCTTTTGAAATTGTCGATTAATTACTCGATCTCATTAATATAATTTAGCGGACGTGATATTGAAACTGGTTTGTCTACGGTACACTGAAGGCAGAATTTCACATTTCCAACGATGCTTTTGTAGGAAAATCATGAGATTCAGGCAATTTATAGTTTATATTTGACTTTTGGTATGTCCGGAAAAAATTTTTGACCCCTAAAATGGTACACTGACCGAAATTTTTTGGCGACGGGGGGGGAGGTCGCTCAAAACTTTCCATTGAAAAAAAAATGTTCGGTAAATTTCGAAGTTTTCCTCTATATAGGTGCCCTTGGTGTGCGTCCGCCCCCTTTTGCCTTATCATCGTTCCGGCGTCCCTAATTGCAACTTTTGCGTAACCTTATATCGGAACTGCCTTGGATTCCGATGGAAATGTCCAATAATTCCTACCATTCCGTATTTTTAGATTTATGAAATATCACCCAAAATAGAGTATATGTTTTAAGGGATAGTTTAAACCATATTTGGTTTTGAGGCTCTCGGCTATATTTTAAAATATTTTAATTTTTAAATTTTATTCTGCTAACCTTTACCCCATAAATCATCCCGAATCAAATTCGAGAGAGGTGGAAACTTATTCACATGATTTTGAAAACTGCTCATATTTTCTGAATCAATAGACGCTAATCGTTCAACGAATATGCTTTTACGAACAGGATTAGCAAACACGTGAAATTTCTAGAGGAATATTCAGAGGCACCTATTCAGACTACTACAGACTAAATTAGACGGTTGTGCCGTTTTTGGTATCAACCCATACTTTCATATGAATAATACTTCAATCAATCAATCAATTAATCAATAAACTTTATTTACAGAGGGTTAAAAATATTACATAGCTAATATACCTGGTAAGTCAAAAGACTTATCTTCCGCAGGGCCCTCGCTATTTTAGTTAAAAATATGATTTGAAGTTATTTACAATAGAGTGAAATATTATAATAATCAGTTACTAGTTAAAAAATAATTTGTTAAAAATTTCCTCTTAAAGTATCTATGTCATAGTTTGGGAATTAGCCTATTTAGATAGTTTGGATGATTTTAAGAACTTTTGCAATATATTTTATAATTCGAAAACTTGATCTTCATGGACTTTCAGGGGCTCAAAGTTGCCGATTTTTTGCTTAACCGAGAGGGTAAAAGGACTAGAGCGAGAGTGCCCGAAAACGCCGGATGTGACGTCAAACCGGGAACCGCAATTCGTCTAAATTAGAAAACACTGTATTTTATATTATCAGAGGCAAGTTAAAATAGCTTTTAAGTTGCCTTTTTTTCAATATTCCTTCAATTCGTTTGAGTTGTGGTTGACATTAATGTCTTCAAGCTGTACTGATCCGAATGACAGCCAAAATGAATCGGAAAATAGTTTTGTTACGAGCTATATGATGGAAGTTGAAGTTGACGCTCCTTTGACGGCAGAAACACAAAGTGATGAAGAACAGGCCATCACAGAACCATATCAAAACGAACCAATTGCCGATGCAGAATGGGTTGCTAACTATTACGAAGAGAGGCAAGAGCAAGAAGATAGATTGGAAATGCTTAGGTGTCGCTTCGAAGGACATGCAACTGTGGAAAGCTGGTGAGTAGGACTGTCTTTGACTTTGCGCACTAGCTTTTAATAGCCGAATTATATCATTTGCAAATTATTTGACTTGGAATTTAATAACTTTTTATATTTTTTCTGTGTACAGGTGTGAATGTGGCAATTGTAAAATAGACCTGCTGCAAAATGAGAAAGAGTGCCAATGTTGCCAGGAAGTCGACGGTTGTATCGAGGCACTCAAAAGTGATATTGTTATACAAGAAGTAAATGGTGTTACCCAATGCATAACACTTCATCCAGGCTTTAACTCTGTATGTTTAGCTACTTGGTCATTGCGCATGGCTGGACCAAAATATAGAAAGATGGACAGAAAGAAGTATGTAATGGGTAGCGATGAAAATAGGTAAACAAGCATATAATTCAAACCGCGTGAAACATTGCTTTGACAAACACACATTAACAATTATTATTAACTCTCTAGTTTTTTCAAAATGATATTATTGCTCTACAGTCTGGAGCAACACTTCTCAAACAAATTTAAATAAGGTACAGGTAGTGCAGAACTTTGCATGTCGAATAGTTAGCGGAGTTGGCAAATACGATCATGTCACACCAATCCTGCAAGAACTAAAGTGGCTTCCTGTTTGACAGTATTTATATTTTCGTGATGCAGTCATGACATTTAAATGCATGACAGGAAACGCACCTGCATACCTAACTGAACAGTTTGTGAGACGAGGTGACATTTCATCTCGCGTTACTAGGAACTCGAGCATGATTGAAACTCCTTTACACAGAACAGCAACCGGGCAACGATCTTTCAAATTCAGAATGGCCACAATTTGGAATTCCTTAAAACCAGAACTTAGGGCCTGCGAAACAACGAAAGACTTCAAACATATTTTAAAACAGAGACTTGTAGAAACATTTAAATTTAGGACCAATCTTAAGACATTTTGATGTAAATAGCATATATATTTGTGTAGTACTACCAAGTGTGTGTGTGTGTGTGTGTGTGTGTTGTGTGACTGTGTGTTGTTATGTGTGTCTCTCTATTATTACAGTGTATAAAAATTTAGATCAATTATGTAAAATTTCGCTGAAAAGCCTTTTAAGGGATGTGAAATTAAAATATAATAACAATAAATCTTTATTTCTACCTCATATCAACATGCTGATTGTCTGGCATTAGACAGATTATATAATGCAGCACAAGGTCCTCTGGTAGGAATTGAACCTATGGCCCTGTGATTGAGCTGTAACAGCTTGGTTAGAGCGCTGCACCGGAATCGCAGAGCCGTAGGTTCAATTCCTACCAGAAGACCTTGTGCTGCATATTTCGCAGTCGTTCCTGGTCAGGTCTTAAAATGTATATATACTCACTTGGATTACAAACCCTGACATTCTGGTATTAATTCCACCAAGTGAAGTGCAAGAAACCAAATCATTGAAGTCCACCTTATCACAACCCGAACACCCGATTACCTATATATACATGAACTTACGGTTACAGCTCAACAGCTGGCCTCTGTAGCTCAGTTGGTTAGAGCGCTGCGCCGGAATTGCAGGGCCGTAGGCTCGACTCCTACCAGAGGACCTTGTGCTGCATTTTTCGCAGTTGTTCCTGGTCGGGTCTTAAAATGTATATAATCACTTGGATTACAAACCCTAACATTCTAACATATAAATAACTGTTATTATTGACACCAAGTGCTTTATACTCAGAGTGGGAAATTCGACCTTTTGAACCGCTGTTAGGCACAAGACATGTAGCATTTGACCATTTAATACTGACACCAGATTAAAAAGCATTTTTGTCCTGGGAAATTAATTTTGGCACAAAATTTCAAAAAGTTCAAATTCCCAGGGGAATGCCGGGGGGGTAGGTCATAGTAGAAATTATTGGCACATAAACTGATTGCTTTATCATGAAAAATAGCACCACCACCCCCGCCCCCCTGGCCAGGGCTCTAGGACTTGAAATCCATCCCTGAGTTTTGTTAAAGCGCATGCATAATTTCGTGTTCATTTACTTATAGATATTTTCGAAGTGTTGCATATCGACAGTACATACAACTTGTTTATGGCTACCTGGGGAAAAGAAGAATACCATTACCTGCATGTGCCTATTATGCGATACGGAGTGAATTTGGGGGAAAGGACTTTCAGGGTTATGATGATGATGAGGAGGAATCATCATAGTATACTGTAATTAGTTTATAGATTGTTTTACATATACTGGATATTATCAGCTTGTTATATAAATATAGTTTGTCCTAGTCTCATCATGCTGAACATGGGCTAGAGTTACTGTAATTTTTCTGTTAAGCCTCCCATGGGGGGCTTGTTCTTTTCAGGAAGATTTGAGGTAGTGCCATTAAAAGGTTATAAAGAGACACTTAGTTGAAGGGAGGGGGGGGGGGGGCTTAACAATTTTTTATCTATATAAGAGAAGGGGCTTATAAATAGAGAGATTTTGGTATTCAAGTTGTCTATAGGAATACACAATAATTGCTTTCACAGAGATATCTATAAATTTGTATCATGATTAATTTATTACTAATTATATAATAATTTATACAATAAAATATTTACATATACATCAGAATTGTTGAAATGTTATTTTTGGTTCCTTGGACAGTGCAGAACATTTTTATGGCCTTTCATAGGTTGGCCACATGTTCTGCAACATGGTTTTGCTCGTTCTTCTTGTGGAGGTGGTGGTTGGGCTTGTACAGTAGAAGGTGCTAAAGAAAATAAATGGTTATTGTGAATGAACTTCCTACAGTCACACCATTATGTATATTTTACACAATGTCTTGTACAGTATATATTTACTTGTACAGTACCTGCAGTAGGTGGAACGTTGGCAACAACCATTTCCTTGCGTTCAATCATCTTCTTTATAGCCTCATTTCTTGGCTGCTTTTCCAGCATTGTATTCATTGGAGCTGATGTCATATCTACTAATTCTTTATATGCCTTTTTTATTTCATTACTTTCTGCACTTAGCATGGTCTGATATAATTCTTCGACATAATCTAAATCTAATGAATGACATTGCAAACCTCAACCAATGGCAAAGACTTGCAATTGTTCAATTGACTTTGTTTGTGTAGGCTAACATACACTGTATTCAATCTGGCAATTCTGACTCTATGCTTCTGTCTACCACTTAAGGCAGTATAGCCACAATATGTACATGTATACTGTTTTTAAATCTTACCAAAATTCTGCTGGACTCGAACACTCCGTACAGTGGCTTCGCCATTTTTAAATTTTGGGTACACAACTTTGACTTGTGACTTTCCAGTTTGGGTTCGTAGTTCATCTCTGTTGAGGTTCTTGTTAAAATGAATAACAGCCAAGATGTGTCTAAATATTATAAAATAATACTGCAGCTCTAATTTTAGCTGTTCATATCTGAAGATAATAGTAGTTGTACCAGTACCAAATAGTTGTTGTTCTGTTAATCCTTTAAGTGGCTATGCACCCTGATTCACCCTACTTTAGTGTTTTACTCTCTGTCTAATGCCAGATTATTTTACTGTACATGTCAAGTGGAGAGTGATAATTAATGATAATATTATCAGGAAATATCTTGACAATGATAATGAAACAAGAAAATAATAAAGCGGGCGCATCTGGGCTCACTGCCACTTAAGGGGTTAAACCATAACACCACATTTTTACACCCTTGATCATACTGTATAACAATAAGATACAAGCATATACCTGCAATACATCCCTTGAAATGGGAACGCAATCATTTTTGGAGAAAAATGATTTAAGACTGAATGGAATCCCTCCAAACAGCTAGTCTGCGACAGCGGTGATGCTTGGCAAAAACCCTTCTTAATCCTTTTGTTTAAAAGGGCATTGCACACTTTCTCATAAACAGTGGAATCTACTAACATTGGAAAGTGTGTTATTATGTACTGTAATTGTAAAGTGTATTTTCTTAATAAATTAAACCTGCAAACAGCTGTAAATATTGAAAATTTTCGTACAAATAAATACAGTTGAACATGCTTAATTAATATTATATTATTTATACTGTAAGTTCAACCATGTTTCTGCCAAATTTAGTGAAAGGAAATCTTTGTAAGATCGTTATGACAATCAACAGCAGTTTACATCATTGCCCGAAAATTTGTTTATTTTAGAGCTTTATAAATTCTTAGGAACTTCCATTTCTTTCAAATACAGTGTATCTACTAGAAACAATCAACTTGATTCTGTAATGGATCATATAAGGGCAGAGTTCAGGGCTGTTGGCAGGACTTAATTTGCATTTGGGGGAGCAGGTGATGTCAGATTTACCTGAATTTTTCCAACTTAACATTTTTACCTGATATTGCAACACCTGTCAGGTGCCGCCATGGTTGGTGCCTAGCAAAACTGGGAATAATAGTGAGGTACAGTCAATAGCGTAACCACCCCGACGATTTAGTCTCGCTATGTAAATATTTTCGTGTTCATTGACTGTGAAAGCAATCAATTTATAAAGAAATGAATAATATAATTTTTAATTTGCATATTGGGACTAAATTGTCGGCTAAGTACTGGCTGTCTAGCTGTACTGTATCTATTCAAATATGATATAATGGTATATTATATCTTATTACTGTATTTGTTTACCTTTATTAAGCCATGTCCTTTCCTCTATATCATCCTTATGAGCACATTTATTGAAGACAGGATTTGGTAGATTCGAGTGTATGTTAGCAACATGTTCCAAAAATGACTCGAATTTTGCCCAAATTATTTGCCCATTACCATCAGCTGTCGATGTCGCACTCCAATAAAGATGGTTTACACACGGCTTTACCCATGGGAGAAGTACCTCACAACCTTTTTCCTTTGAAATTTTGCTCAGGACTTTGGAAACTTCTGCAAGAATGTATGTCCAAAAATTATTCACAATACAGAAACTAAACACATAAAAATATATACAGCACAAAACCATTGGTCTGTTGCTTAAATCCTCCCTTCGCTCATATCCTGATACATTGGTCATTGAAAAACAGCTATTTTAGGGTTAGCAACCTCCCCTCCCCCCATTCTATGTTCATTATCTTGTTGTACTCTGTCTAAAGCTAGACAATTTTCATCATCAGAGAAAAAGTACTGCCATTACATTGCACTACTCTTTGTTCCATGCCTGATGACCATGGGTCAAAATAGACTGCATAACATATACATAATAATACATGTGCTGTATAATATAGGTATATATAATATAGGATAATACATACTTTTGTTCAAATGCCACAGATCGAAGTAATGTGTAATTTCTGGCAGCTTTTCCCTCATGTGTTTAGCAATGGATGAATGGCGATCAGATACGAAGGTTGTCACACTCAAATCATTTTTTGATATATCCTCCATCGATCTATCGAATGCCATATATTCCATGGCAGGACTGCTACCAGCTTCATTTCTCTATTAATTAAATAAATGAACAAAAGTGATAAGAATATATGTACAGTATGCCAAGATATGGTTCACACTTTATTACTTTTAATTTGAAATACAGCAGCTAGTATGTATATGAAAGTACATGTTGAAGAGAAACATGCATTTTCATATCAAAAGTGAACTGCATTCCCAAATGTACTGTATGTTGAGCCACATTGTCATTGTATACCAAACAAAACAAAAAATTTAAAGTGAATGGGTACATAATAACATAAACCTAGTAAACAAAATTGGATTATACCAAATATGGACAGGATGCATCTTAGATAACAAACAGGGAAAGGATAGAAATTAGACAACAGTAATATACACACAGTACCGGTATGTCAAATTTTTTTGCTGCCTCCGCATACTCCAATGTCATAAATAAAAATACCATACCTGCACTAAACTAAAATCAACAATTGCATTTATTGGATTGTTACAACAGAAGATACTGTATGCACAGTATTTCGCACTGTGCCCCATGCTGTCATGACGTCCATCCCCAGCTAAAACAATTGCATCCATTTCCTTCAATTTGGATTGCCATGACATTTTATAACTTTTCCAATGCATGTGGATACTAGGAAACAGCTTGGTCTTTTAATTAAAATAGAAAGAGATTATCATGATATTAGAAAAGTGTAAGAGATGTATCCCGGTAACAATACAGTTCCTTACTTTACAACAGACATTTACATTAATTTGATTGAACCATTATAATGACAAGACCATTCTTTATAGACAAGTAAAATTGGCAGTATTAACCTTTAAGTGGCAATGTGTCCAGATGCACCATACTTTATTACTTTACTCTGTCTAACGCCACTCGCCAGATGATTTTACACATCAGGGGGAGAGTGCTGCCCACTCAATTGGTGAATAGACAGGTAGAGCAAAATAGAAAAAAGGTCCTTTTGTGCATATTGCATGCAACTTGATGAGTTAACAGGATATACAGTACTGTATTGTCACTGAATGTATCATTAATTTGCAAAACCATTAATATTCCCTTTAGAAGCAAAATGTCTGGTGTGCTCAACTGTACTGTGAACATACATTAATGATTGTAGTTTAATGTGTTAAATAAACAGTAGGTAAATGATTTAACATGATTTAATGTAAATACATAATAGGTACATACACGTTGATGGCGGTGGAATGTGGACAAAGATATACTTCCCAAACCCATGTGCTCAAATATTCTCAGCGTTTTGCTTGCAGATCCACCTCCAGTTAAAATTGCAAACGACAGCAGTAAGTTTCCTGCTGGAATACTGGAGTTAGGCATTATGATTCTAGGTTGGCTTGTCCACACATTCATACGTTTATTACATTTGCGATGGTTGCAGGCTGTCTCGATGTGTACCATTGTTCCAATTTTCTTTACTTCAACCCGAACACCTGGCATGTTACAGGTTGGACAATTGTTGAACAATTCCATGAGTTGCGGAAGGAAGACAACAAACTTTGCTTGCTTCCTCAAATTATCATCTTTAACAAAGACTCTAGAAAAATAGAATGTTACCATATATCAACAAACAAATTTCAGCTTTCAATTTATGCGTGCAGGGGTGACAGGAAGTAAGATATCACATTGCTGATTACGCTGAAACATTTCATTATAGACTGCTGAAACAACAGAAATATTTCAATACTTACAAGTATATAAAACCTTACTCCCCACCCCCACCACCCCCCCACCACCCCCTGCACACATACACTAAAAGCTGGAATTGCTTATTGTTTATATGAAATGGTTTGGCTTGTATTTGCATACAATCGCTATCACATGGTGTTCAACAGAATACTGCCCAGAGGTACTGGAGAACAGTGCACATTAAATTAATATAATGAATGTGAGAAGTACTGTTCAATGAAAAGTAAATCACAAAATTTGTTTCAACAACGCAATTGGAATTTTGTACATCTTTACTACAATAACGCTATCAAACGTAAATAAAATAGCCCACACACACCTTGTCCCAACTGCATCGTCCTCAGCTTCCGATTCTGTATCAGTCGAGGACTCTTCCATTGATGGTTCTTCTTCAACCTCTGATAGTGCGGATGGCTCTGATGTAAAAGGTTCTGAATCATCACGATCAAGATCTTCATCATCACTTTCAATATCACTTGGGATATTGCTTACATCTCCAATGTTATCATCAGTTAATGATGAATTATCACTATCTAGTAAAGGAACAGAAAACAATACTGTATTTATTCAGACTATTCCAACCACAACAATGCATTCTTTCAGCAACATTGACAAATTATAATTACCATAACTTAATTGAGACTTATAAAACAGCATCTTCTTCTTCATTTTCTCCAGATTTACAGATAAGGCAGTGCAATTGTGACATTTTGATGGCATTGTCTGGACCCGTACGGTTTTTACACTTTCTTCTTCATCAGCCTTAAAAATAAGCGAATGATTATAAGAATATGTACAACACATGCTATAGTACAGGTCATATCCATTAAACTCACATGCAAACATTACATGATGAACTGTAAGTTTACACAGGAATTTATATATTGTGCTGTGTGGCTATATTAAATCGAGTAATATGGTACCGACTAAATCATGACAAAATTGCATAAATTTCTACTCACTCTTTCTGGTTCACTAACTTCTACAGTCAAAGGTTGCTCAAACGTCTCGACTGAGGAGTCAGGCTGACCACTCTCCATCGATGAACTGGGCTGTGATTCTGTAGCACCACACTTCCCATATTCTGTGTGCTTAGCATGGAAAGTCTAAAAGTAAAAAAAAAAATATAAGTTTCATACTGGGTATCATAAATCATAATACTATTCCACTTGCTCAGTTGCTGAACACCTTCAAATATAAAAATATTATTCATATATTCATCATACCGCATAGTGCGATTATATTTGCGAAAAAATGCGAAATAAAATAAATCGAAATAGTAAACAATAGAACATTGACGACACTTACAATGCGACGGCGATCTCTTGAAGACAACGTGCTGGTTTCCTCGTCATTATGTTTTGAAGGACACACACATATGCCCATATCGTCTTGCTTCAAACGAGGAGCCACAAGCAATGGTTTCTCCGCGCCAGGCATTTCGTTGAGGCCGATGAAACGGATCGCAAAGTCCTCTTCGTTGAAATGCTTTGAGCAAACTTCTGAATGGACAGATGGCTCCCATTTGTCGCGTTTCCGTCGAACAAAATCAACCCAAGCTTTCCTTCCTTTTTTTTGCCTCAGGCCGCGTATCATTTGCATATGGAATGCAATGCAGTGCAATTCCTTCGCGTAAGTTAGCAGTGTTGGAACATCCATAGACTACACATCTGTGTGGCATCCTTACACCATGGATGTCCAACTCAAAAGGTCTAATTTTTGAAGAAAGTCTTCGTTTATGCTGGTTTAAACAGTGAACCACTATACTATAATAGCTTGTAGTTTTGAGCGACTTCCCGGTTTGACGTCACACATAACATTAGTTACCAGTTTTTTCATGCTCACGGTCAAAGCATAAAAATGGTCAAAATCGGCAACTTTGAGCCCCTGAAAGTCTATGAAGATCAAATTTTCGAATTATAAAATATATTGCAAAAGTTCTTAAAATCATCCAAACTATCTAAATAGGCTAATTCCCAAACTATGACATAGGCACTTTAATAGTCTATACTATAGTCTTCACCATAGTCTTAATTGTCTTCACCATAGTCTTCATAGTCTTTACTATAGTCTTAATAGTCTTTACTATAGCCTTGATAGTCTTTACTATAGTCTTCATAGTCATGACTATAGTCTTCATAGTCTTTACTGTAGTCTTCGTAGTCTTTACTATAGTCATCACCATAGTCTTAATAGTCTTTACCATAGTCTTCATAGTAATGACTATACTCTTCATAGTCTTGCCTATAGTCTTCATTGTCTTTACTATAGTCTTCATAGTCTTTACTATAGTCTTAATAGTCTTTACTATAGTCTTCACCCTAGTCTTAATTGTCTGCACCATAGTCTTCATAGTCATGAATATAGTCTTCATAGTCTTTACTATAGTCTTTATAGTCTTTACTATAGTCTTAATAGTCTTTACTCTAGCCTTGATAGTCTTTATTATAGTCTTCATAGTCATGACTATGGTCTTCATATCTTTACTGTAGTCTTCATGAAGGCATCCCCGACGATATCGACAACGCAGATTAGTTGGACGTATCGCAACGAAATTTGATCGTATTGGACGACCTTATGGCTCAATCTGACAAAGATAAACGTATTTATGATCTCTTTACGAAAGGAAGTCACCTTCGAAATTTGTCTATCATCTATAGTGCCCAAAATATATTTCATCAGGCAAAAAAGAGAAATATCAGCCTTAATGCTCACTATATCGTGTTGTTCAAGTCTCTAAGAGATAAACAACAAATTTCTATGCAAATATATCCCGGAAAAGTACAAGAATTTATGAGGAGTTATGAAGATGCTACGAGCAAGGTTCACGGGTATTTGATGTTCGATTTAAAGCAAACAACAGACGATCAACAACGACTCAAGACCAACATAATTTCCGGCCAGATTGCAAAGTTTTTACACAAACAGTCGTATCGTCAACCAGCGCTTGCAAATGCCATGTATGATGCTGAGGAGCGAATAAAAGAAATCATGGAAACGCCACAGCTTAGCGCAGTGGAAAAAAGCGAATTATACTCTGATCAACCAAATCGGTTTTTGACATTCAAAAATAAGATGGATGTTCCGGCTCAAGCTCCTGTTCAGAGAACTCCACTAGTGCCTGCAGAGATACTACCACAAGAGCCTCCTACGCCTGTAATAGCGGAAATACCATCACCAGTGCCTGCAACTCCTAAACCTAAACCTAATTTCTTTTCGCCACCACCAACCGAAAGTGAACGACCAAAACTCAAGCGCAAATTTTTTCACAATTGGGTACAGACTGGAGGCCCCAATATTTGGCAATGATGACCCCTGAACAAAGAGAAGGTTACGAACAAAGATTACTTCGCGAGAGGCCGAAATATATTCCAATGAAGCACGAAGAAGTTGCACGATAACAAAAACAAAAAACCTAAACGATAAAAATAACAAAAACACCTAAACGTTACGCTCTTAGAAGTATACCGTACTAAATTTGTAAAACGTTTTGAAGAAATAAATGTATTTTAAAACTGAAATATTGTGCAAACATTTACCTGCAAAACCCGCTCTTTCCGCCCGCGGGATTTGTCTAATACGCTCGCCTGATTAGTGTCCTTAATCCCATTAATTATCTACACGCCTCCTAATGACTTAGCAACGCATAACAACGCAAATTTGCAAAGTTTAAAACATGTTTATTGATACAAATAACAGACGATAGTGTCAAAAAATATTACAACTGTTCTAATTCTAACTTCTACTCTTGATAAGCTTTCTTAAGATCATCTTAACAGTATATATGTATGTAGGAGCATTGCTAAATAATGTTGAACAACATGCAAATATTGACCATAGCAACGACGTTGACAACATCCACCACCTCAAAATCCAACACCTCACACCACCTCCTTACCCC